TAAATCTACTAAACATTACTGCTACTGTGATACTGAATCTACTAGACTGTTGGAGGGGAAGGCGGCTCTGGTTTTCATAGTCAGCAAACTTTTCCTCTACTGCTTATCTCCTCATAGTTGAAAGACAATAGGGCACAAAGAGCCTGAAAATGTCTTATTTTCTGGTACAGGAGATATCTTTAACTGCTGGTAAAGGTCATAGATGTGGTGTGATGGTGGAAGTCCCCAATCACATTTTGACACAGTAAAACCTTAGGTTTTGGTGCCATGGTTTGTGCAGACCTTGAGGAACAGGAATACCACTCTGGTTTTGTATTGAGCCAGGCAGGTTAGCAAGAGTCTTTTCCAGTTAAGATGCTGTTAAACTTCTCACTTCAAAGCCAACTCACTATTTTAAGAGAGTTAGAAATGTAGTTTTAATTCAGGGCCACTTTGCTAGGATAATCCAGTATATCTACCTTTGTCATTTATACTTAATATTTCTGGGGACTTCTGTTTCTTAACAAACTTAAATTGAAAGGAGCACTGGAAATGATGACAAAATTGAATGAGTGTGTGAGGGAAGGCACTAGACTGACTCAGCCACTGCAATACCTTTTAGACTTTGCTGCAGTGCTGTTATATTGTCTGCTATTGTGTTTCCTTCCAAGAGGAGAAGAATTAGTGAACTGTGCATGTACTTAGAGCAAGAACTGAAGAGTTAATGATGAATAGCGTATAGATTTGGCAGAAGAAATATAAAGATACATATCAGAACGTTTTGGCAGCTTCAGACAAATGACAGCATGAGAAAACTCCCTCCTTGGTTGTCCTTATGCATAGTTGTTCCACCATGCATGCACTACACCCTGACCAAAAGGAAGCAGTGCTGCCAGACTGCTTGTCACAAGCAAGCCTACAAAATACTGACTGCATCTTAAAAATCCCAATGCTTCTTTTTAAACTTTAGTAGGGGTTTTTTTGGTGCTTTTTCCGAGGTCCACTCAAAGCACTTTTCAAGCTTACTTCCCTTCCTCCCCCACAACTACAAGGGCTAGGAATTTGTGGCCTGAGCGAGCTGAAATTTTCATGCTGTCAGTTAATTGCAGCAGCAAGAAGTTAAACTGTCACAAGACCAGGTGTGGAGCTAAGATTGATTTAGGATGAGTAGTATCTAATTTAGTAGTAACCACTTTTTAGTTAAATATTTATTCACTGTTTAGTAATAGTCAAAGGTGCTTTACAAAATAAACAGGACAGACAGAAAAGCCTCCTGCATTGTATTATTAACAACCTAATTTTAAGTGTGAAAACAAGAGGAAGGTTTGCAAGTGTTATGAGAAAAGATAATTGTAGTGTGGTCATGTGATTGCCCAGTCCAACAGCTATAGTTTCCCGTGTGACATGACTACATCAACTGCCTACGTAAGTTGAAAGATAAAGAGAGGCTATGAAATAGTTGCTCTTATCAGATACCACACTTACTGAAGTAGCAGAATAAGGACTAATTGTAACTAAAGATGTAGCTCTGACAAAGGTTTTGGTTCCCCTCTTCCACCAAGGAAAGAAAAAATTAGCCTCTGGGTTTGTACAGCTAATTTGTCATATACCCAAATGCGTCTTGGTGGTGAGTTGGTGAGAGCTGGGCTGGACCCACTTGTCTATAGGAGATGCAGGCTAATTTCTTTATACCTAAGAGTCTGTCTTGTCTAATTCTGTAATTGTAGCTCTCCCTTGGCAGGGGCAAGAAGTTGAGCAGCGGAAGTTAGCTTTAAAGTTAGGAAGTCAGCCTATTAAAAATGCTCCTGAATCTATTTGCAACACTTAGGCATCCTGTTGCTTGCTTGCTTTCAGAAGATTGACCAGCTAACACCATGAACATCAGGCATTGGCCTGCTGAGTTCCTCCGCTTTCATTGTGTGTGTGGTGTTGTAGGCTTTTTGGAAAGAGGAGGGAATTGAACAGTTGAGTTCCAGCTTTATCTGCCTTGTTTTGCTTAGTCCTGACTGACCTTGACCTAAGTGGAATCCTTGACCTCTGTCGCTCAGGTTGATGAGCTTAAATCAAGATGCTGTGTCTTGTGTTATGATAAATAAGCTGGAATGCGACTGTCATTTTATATCTGAACTGTGTCTTCTCAATTGCCTATTTTCTTGCTTCTCTGCCTATGGGGATGTTCTAGTGAAATATTTGCATTGTAGGAGTTTGCTTTCTTCTGATTAACTTTGTGTGACACTCAGCTATTTTAAAATAGGAAGGGAGAGATGGAAAATGCTGTCACCGTTAAAAATACACCCAGAATAATTTATTCTGTAAACAGGGCAATAGTTCTGTTTACTAAACCAGGTTGAAGTCTTCACTAAGAAGAGTCTTTCTTGACTACAGAACTTCAAAGCACTAAATGAAGCCAGGAGCTGGGGGATGGGACAGTGAGAAGACACTAGTGTAATTTAAGACCATTTTATGTTCCTAAGAGCTGAGTTAGGTACACCCTTAATGATGGTATGTTCTCAATGTTCTCAGAGTGTGCCACACTGAATGAACTATGTAAGATACTGAAAGTTGTTACAGATTCCTTATGATCCTGTTTGAAGGACAATGGTGACTTATATTCTCTTATTTTAATGATTTTTTTTTTTTGCAGGCTGTACAAATACCTTTGTAAATACTTTACAAATAGAGCATTTTTTTCTCTGTTTGTGAAGAATGCTGTTACAAATAATATTTTTGTTTTTTAAAGAGTCTTTATGTGCAGCTTTGGCTTGTCTTTTCTCTGTTTCGTAGCATGGTCTGACTTCAGCAAGATTCTCTTTTACATTGAAGTAAGCAAAATCAGCAACTTAATCAGTTGTTAATTTAGCCAGTTTATCTGAAGAACTAGTTCACTATGTTCTCTTGTTTAACTGGAGTTTGCATTGATTGAATTAGAGAGTAAAAAGTAAACAGTTGATTTCCACTTCAGTGGGATATTTTAACAAACTTTTGCAAAGCAGGAAGGGGTGAAAATACTGAAAACAAAAGGAAAAAAAAAAAAACACCCCAAAGAGCACAGTATCTTTTTTCAAGTAAATGAGCCAATTGCTGACTTGACTAAACCCAGTAGGTGAGTTTTCTTGTAATGTTCTTGGAGTTTTAGGGAAAGACTGTTACAAAATCACTGCAAAAACTCAGGGTTTGTTCTAGAAGTTGAGAATGACTGTCAAAAAAAATTTGCAGTGACTCTTCAAGAGGAGTCAAGGGTGCCAGAGCTGCAAGGGAGGCTGTGTTATTTATTTTCCATTGAGGGATGAAAAGTTTGAAATAGCAACAGCTGCAGCCTGTGAGTATTTCATCCAGAACAAAGCAGGGTGGCCTGGAGGATATACTTCAGGTTGATAGATTATAGCTTGTTCATTGCATGGTTTTGTTACTGGTAGGTGCTTGTTATAAAACCCCATCTCTGACCCTACAGTCAAACTTCCATGAAGGATACAGAGGTGGGGGGGAAATAAATGAGGAAGTGGTGGCTTGTTGCGCTTGCGTGTATCACTGTAACAAATAATACTTCACTGTTAAGTATTTCTTCTGGGTGAAGCTGTGTGAGTGACAGTAGTTCACTTTTCAATTTCTGGTAACAAAATGTAGCACTCTTTAAGTAGTTTCTTGGCCTTTAATACAAGGTATGATGTTAAGGTGTTACTAACACAAGGCATATTGCTGTAGATCACTTGGACTACACCTACCTTGAGTTTTATTGCCTTGGGACTGTTTTAACACAGCTTTAAACAGCAACTTTAAATATCCTGAAAAGCAACATGGAATTTTAAAAAAGAAGGAAAAAACCCAACAAACAAACAACAACAAAGCCCTACCCATAAAGCCAAAGGCTCTGCTGTTGGAAAATGCGGGAGTATGTTTGGATATGACTTGTTTTTGCCAGACAGCTGTTTGTTACCTTCAGTGAAAATCCCCATATGCAAGTAGGTGTTTATGCATTGTGTGCATTGGACCTGCTTACCATGCTTGAGGGAGAGGTGAAAATAACAGAGGAATATAGCTCTCGAGTAAATTTCCACAGTAAGTTGTGGCCGGAATGGCTATTTTGGACTTTCAGAAGATTAAACAACAACAGTTCATTCATAGCTACCAAAAGACAGCTTAGTGTGTTAGACATGAGCGACACAGAACATGCTTTTCCCCCAGCATGTTTTGCCAGGTATATGAGCTTCTGGTATTTCACTGGGTTTCTTCTCCTAGACAGTGCAATGAGGTGAAAACTCTGTTTGAAAAAATGAACACTTTCTCTGCTGTTTCTCCATAATTTAGTAAGTTCCACAGATTGGGTCCTAACTTTTCTTCCTTGTTTTGCAATGTGTGAAAATAGCATTCTTCTGTCACTTGAGCAATGCAGTCTGGTCTGTGTCAGAAGCCGGAGACTGTGCAGGACACAAGGGCATAAGCAGACAGCTTCAGTGCAGCTTTAAATGTCCAAAACCAGACTTCAAGAGTATTCAGTGATCATGAAAAAGCCAGTAGCAATTTGTGGCAGCTCATACCTTGTTCTGCTTTATCAGCATCAGTCTGTCTGCCTCCTGCAAAGTGCTAATGCGTGTTTAACTGTGTCATTATGGAAATTGATAGTGGGTGGTGCAAGAAAGAGAAGTGCAAGTACCTGTACAGGCCAACTTCTGACCCGAGAGGCTGGTTTCTTTGGGCTGCCAGCAGACAGAAAAGAGTTCTCATTCTGACATGAAGAATCTGTCTTCCTCCTGTGTCTTCAGAGGTAACCTAAAAGTGAGCCTCTCTAAATGCTTCTCTGTTATCATGCAGAGTATGCACATGTAGTGTGTGCAGAGCAGTGTTCAGCTCCTGTTATTGGGACTTCACGTAAGAAATCAAACCAGAGTGATCCCGTCAAATTTGTGGTGGTGAAGAATAGCTGTAACAACTTCCTTTCATAGGTTTCTAGATTCTTTATAAAAGTTCAATTTAATAGCATAACTTGGATTTAAATTTCTTGTTTTGTTTTTCTTCCATTTCAGGTCTACCAGTCATGAAACGAATTCTTCTGTTTTTTATTCTGGCGGCTGCTGTTATGTATGGTATACTGCATGGAAATCTGTGGAGAAATAACCTCTACTGGTATGGTGATGCTTTGTTTGCTTATAGTGCAGATGTCCTCATGGCTGTGAGTTGCTTTATCACTGAACAGCTGTTCACTAGTAATCACCACAAGTGATTACTACTCTGTGTGTGTGTTTTTGTGGTTGGTTGGTTGGTTTTTTTGTACAGTGAGGGAATTAATGTGATTGTTCTGTCCTGTTGCCCCATATCTCGTGCCACTTTTAAACCTAGCAGTCAATTTGAGCCTCATTATCTGGAAAGGTCAGGATGTCAGAGATAGGGAGCCCCCCTGAGTTTCATGAAAATAGGTGTTCAGATGAGGAGAGGTGTCTTGTGTGTGTCATGTGTCTATATCTCCCCCCACCCCATGTGTGTTTAGTGTTAGCTTGTTCCTTTAGATGTCTGATAAATGGCATGGGAGAGACATGCTCCACACAGGAGAATAACTTCAGGTGTAGTGGGCACCTTTTGAAAAACTGAAATTTGTGGAATCCTAGTGACAACCTTGTGAGAAGTGAGCCTTCACTGTCTCCAGGCTGCATGAGATAGGTGGCTTGGGACCTAAAATTCAGGATTCTTATTGAAGAAGTTGAGTTTCCACTGGCCTTTTACACAGCTGTAACCAGGACTGACCAGTGTGTTTGTGTTATGAAGATAATAGTGATAGCTTTTAAAAATAGTGATTGATGATGTGCCTCTATTTGTCTTGTTTATAGCATACAATTCATACAATTGGCTTTCTGTTGTGGTTTCTGTTTATAGCAAACCACAGTGTTGTGACATTTCCCTTTTTGCAGGATTAGCTTTTATGGACAGACTTCCTCTGTGAGGGCTCCTCCTTCCTATGAGACTAGTGGAGTTACCCAGTAAGTTCAGCAGTTGAGTCTTTTTGTGGTGGGATTTTATTGGTTGGTTGGTTTTTGGGCAGGTGGGGAGGAACTGAGACTAAAATCCGTAACCTTTGTCTGTAGGCCCCCTGTTCAATTGGTTTTTGTACAGCTGTGTCCATTACCTGTTTCTGTTATGAACACAATTGTAACATGTCTGGCAGAAAGGAATTTGTCCATGTCATGTTTCCAGTGTTTGGTGAATATTTATGGCCACTTAGAGTGACTGTAACAAGCAATGAATTGTTGGAAGGACTTTTGTTTACAGCTTCCAAATTTCTACAATTCTGAGTTATACCTGAATAAAATTAGCAGAGCTATGAGGGCAGCTGTTGTGCTTAAAATTTAATAAATCAGAGGTGTGGTTCACTTGTGATGTGCAAGTGCATGTATAAGCAGATCTTGTGCTAGTAAATTCCTGCAATTAGGCTTTTGGATTAATGAGCACCTATGCTAAAACTTAAAAGCAGATCTCTGTTCTCTCTGAAGCTGTCCTGCAAAATGCTGTCTGTGACACTGATGCTGGAAAGCAGCAAGCTGTCCAGCTGATAGATTTCACAGGGTGCTTTCTCAGTGTCAGTATTCACATGGCATCTTGAGGTTACCAAAGCGATTAACCTTAATGGTCTGTTTGGCTTGTGGTTCTAATGTGGTGGTTTCATCCCTCTGTTCTTAATGCAGCCCAGGTGCACACATTGCTCGTTCTGAACTTTACCCTCCCTTCTGGGCTTCATATGTGTTATTAATTGGGCTAAATTGCCAAGGTGGGAATGTGCAAGTCTTAGCCTTGTTATGAGAGGAATGACTTATCCCCAAAGAATCTCATTTTCCTTGAAGTACCCTGTGTACTATGCTGTCTATTCCCTTCTCCGAAGAAGACTTCGTTCTCCTCTCTGAGTAGCACTGGTGATGCTATCTGGTATGGCTGCTGGGTGTCTCAGCCCAGGGGTCCTGCTTCTCTGCAGGTGGGCCTGAAATCTCACCTCTGGTTATGACTGCTTTGATAGTTGCTGAGCAAAAGAGGTTGCAGACCCCTTGGAAGCAGCACTGTGAGATAAAAGCCTTTACTAGTAAAAGTAATAGTACCACAATGAGAGAGATCCATCTTTATAATATGGATAGATGCAATTGCGAAAACTTGGTGTGGTGTTAACTCACTAATCAGCTCCTACTAATTTGGCTTATCCAAGTTCCCTTACCTTGTTGCTGCACCTGTTCCTGTTCTTGCTGTTTCTTTAAAATTTGTCTTTTGCAGGCTGCCACCTACGGCTGTGGAGAGAAGGAACTCGCTGGATACTTGTCTCCTGAAACCAGCATTTGAATCTTTATTGGGGTGAGTCTTCTGTGGGAAGTGAGGTGGGGAAGGAAAGACTGTGCTGACTGAGGTAGAAATAGGTTATTTACGTATTCTGGACTATTTCACCTTTTGATTTGCCTCTGGAAGTACAGCTTTTGGGCTTGGGTTCATTGCTGCTTTTCCTACTTGTGGCAACACAAATTGTCTAGCTTGCCACTGATCAACATCTGAGCAATACCACACAACTAGCTTAACATGGTGGTGTATTTGCTGAGTAAATAAATACTTCCTATTGAGATATTGTAGCTAGTAACACTGTGTTGTGGTTTAACCCCAGCTGGCACTACACAACCTCTCAATCACTTGTTCCCCGTGGGATGGAAGAGAGAATTAGAAAGGTGAAAGTGAGAAAACTCGTGGGTTGAGATAAAGACAGTTTAATAAGTAAAGAAACAACTGTGTGCATAAACAAAGCAAAATAAGGAATTCATTCACTGCTTCCTGTGGCAGGCAGGTGTTCAGCCATCTCCAGGAAAGCAGGGGTCTCTCACGTGTAATGGTTACTTGGGAAAACAAATGCCATCAGTCTGAACATCCTCCTTTCCTTCTTCCCCCAGCTTTTATTGCTGAGAGCGTGGGTTGAGATAAAGACAGTTTAATAAGTAAAGAAAAAACTGTGTGCATAAACAAAGCAAAATAAGGAATTCATTCACTGCTTCCTGTGGCAGGCAGGTGTTCAGCCATCTCCAGGAAAGCAGGGGTCTCTCACGTGTAATGGTTACTTGGGAAAACAAATGCCATCAGTCTGAACATCCTCCTTTCCTTCTTCCCCCAGCTTTTATTGCTGAGAGTGATGTCATATGGTATGGAATATCTCTTTGGTCATTTGGGATCAGCTGTCCCAGCTGTGTTCCCTCCCAGCTCTTTGTGCACCCCCAGCCTACTCGCTGGTGGGGTGGTGTGAGGAGCAGAAAAGGCCATGACTCTACCGCTTAGGCCTAACTGAAACATCTCTATATTATCAACACTGTTTCCAGTGCAAATCCAAACATAGCCCCATACTAGCTACTATGAAGAAAATTAACTCTACCCCAGCCAAAACCAGCACACGGGGAAACAATTTTAATGATTGAATTCAACCTTTTTCTTTTTTTTTTTTTCCTCCATGCTTTTCCTGTAAAAGATGCCTTCATCAGTCATTTTGCTATTAAGAACTTGGATTTAAGATTAAGATTTTTGGTAGCTAAGTATTTCTGTAGCAGCTAGGGACCAGAGAAGTTTTGAAAATATCTTCACTTTATTTGGAAAGACGAGTATGAAATATGCAAAAATTCATCCAGTCTTTAATGATTTAAGATTCTTTTCCTTCAATGGAATTTTAATGGAATTTAATTTTAATGAAATCTGGGATTATTCATGGTTTTGTTCCTCTGGTAGTATTGTTGAATTGTATGTAGGTGCTCTCCACTTTAAGGTACTCATAGGAAGCTTCCTTTGTAGAGCCCATCGAATGAAAAAAGGAAGAGCTTCAGCTCAAAACAAAGGAGGTGTCTGGTCACAAAAGTGTATCAAGATATTTGTGAGGAAATACTGGGAGTTTCTGTTATTATAAGCACGAATCTTAAATGAGAGACATCAGGGAAGTGCTCCTGGACCAGAAGCAGACAAGCTATATTGTTGATTTTCTGTTTTAACTGCGGAAACGTTGAGCACGGCCTTGAGAAAGCTTGGGAAGATGTTTAGACCAAGTCCTGGTTGAAGGAGTCTTAAAGCTCTAAGCAAAGACACCATTTTTGGTCCTTTTTGTGTACAAGAAAACACAGCTTTAATTCAGTGCTATTATTATTTTAAAGAACATAGAAGGATGTCAAGTTTGTCCTCCCTGAAGCAGTCCTTTGGTCTTTGAGTTTTGGTTAGCTGCCTGGCCCACAGAGGTGGTGGTGGGTCCTTTGCCCACAGTGTGTGCCCAGGCTGTCTCTGTGTCAGGCACAGCAGGGTTGGTCTGGTGCTGAGCTGGGAATGGACTTCAGGATGCACAGCGAGAAGAAAGTAGGTGCTGAGTTAGAGCAGAGTCTCTTGTGTGTTTCCATAGCTCCTTTACAGGGATAGTTTGTGCGAGCTGAAGATCTGGTCTGTGCACTTTTGCTAATAGCCTGGGGAGGTTGAAAGGATTTCTGACCTGGCAGAATTATTTATTGGAAAGGAACCAGAGCTAGAAGAGCTAGAATTAAGAATCTCTTCGCAGTAGGTAAATTATTTATTATGTCTGAGCTTACCAGCTGCCTCTGAACAGCAAGGCAAGTTATTAAATTTAATATGTGGGTTTAGTTGCATGGTGTCTCAAAGTTAGGTGGTCTTGCTTAGTTAACCTATGGCACAGTTCTTGGTGTGTGGTCTGTGGGGTTTTGTTGTGTTTGTGTGGGTTTTTTTTCTGTCTACTGTTAGTATCTTCTGAATGCATAGAGCTTAGAGTGAGATACTTGTTTGTGAGACTGAGAGGGAGGGTTTATTTTTAACAGCTATTAATAGTCTTAATGGAGAAGCAAGTCATGTGCTGGCTGTGGATATTTATCATCAACACTTGGTTTTCTCACCGTGACTCTGTTCTTCTGTGTTAACATTTTAATACCAGATCTAGTATGCAGGATTGCTGCAAAGTCAACCAATTCAGCAAGTGGGTGTGGACTTAACTCCAAGGTGAAGCCAAGGGCTTGGTAGCAAGTGACAGGATTGGGTCTACTGTTCATCCATTTGACTTGACTTAGCAGATTTGGTAGTAAGAGGCCCTTCCCTGCTATGAGAGAATTCTTGTCTCTGGTTACTGTCCTTTGAGGAAAGAAGTGACCTGTTCTTTCTATCGTGATGCTTATATGGTGTGACACCATCATGTTCTAGTTTGCAGGAGGAATGTGCTTTTGAGGCAAATGTCCTTGTGATCCCCTTGTGCCATGCTTCTTGTCACAGGGTGGCACTGGCACATGTGCTCCTTCCAGACATCTGACTTCTGGTTAAGCCAGAAGATGCACTACAGGAGAGCCTCCAATGTGCTGCACCTGCTAAGGGGTGTTCAATCTGTGGGACCCTTCTAGAATATGTCCAGAGTGAAAAAGCCCAAGATGCATGTAATGTAAACATGAGAACTCCATGCTTTTTTCTATATGGATATACCCTTGTTGCCCCAAACTACTTACTGATGTCAGCACAGCCATAAAGTGCCACTTATTAGTAATGGGAGCACATCTCAAATAAGCTCATGTCTTCAGGACTTGGTATTTTCAAGTTAAAACACTTTGTTTCAAATCCCATTTTTATTTATTAATTTGCCGTATATAATAATAACAACTCTAAGTTTTCCTTGCTGCCTCTGTTACATATTTTTCAAACCTGAAGTTATCGATTGTCTTCCCGGGTTACATATTATCTTAAATATACTGTCTCATGATGTAAACTTTCAGTCATGTGATTTTAACGACTATATAACTTATACTGGCAGAGAAAGACTTTTATCTCGCTCTCTACCTATATTTTCTGTTATAAAATCTTCCCATTTTCTGTCACCTGCTTTCTTTCTGTGTTCATGAGCTTTCTTCTTTTAAAAATTAGTAACACTTGAAGTAGGATAAGGAAAGCTTTTTTAAAAGTTATTGTGTTAGTTATTGGTTTATTCAAATACGTCATGTGGATTTTTTGAAATTTCTTACTTTTTCCCTTTATTAGTGCTGACAAAATATACCCGTTCCTGTGTGCTAATGACTTTATCAGAGTGGCGGAATTCCATGGGAGCGATAAGTTTGAACTACCTTACGGAATAAAGAGAGCAGGTTTGTGTTCCCCATGTATGCTGTTTTTAAACAGAAATACCTAAATCTAGTGTAAAGCCACATGAATCTCTGGTTCTGATCTTTCCTATTCACTGATACCAATCCGTCTGGGGGTATCTAGCAGTGACTTAATGGTTTCATTCAGTCCCTCTGACCCGGTATCTTCCTTTTTTTAATAAATTAAGCACTGTATTGGGGTTGCCTCATTAAGCAGAGAAGCTCCAAAAAGGTGGGAGTGAGGAAAAGTGGAGCTTATTCGGCTTCCTTTCATTTTTATGTGGGCTGGAGTGCTGAAGATATTTAGCTAGTGCTTTTCTAGATGAAATCTTAGCTGGGTCAGAGTGATGGGGTTTGATCTACACACCTAAGCCGATCGGGATCTGGAGTCCTACTGAAGCAGAAGACCCCACGTTGGGGCAGTTACATCTGTAAAATTTTTGTTTATAGTGGGCCAGCTTCTCCCACCAGGGAACCTCCTCTGAGGCTGCAGGGAGGGTTCCCGCAGTTGCATGGTGGCTGTATCCATGCAAAATGTTGGCCACCTCATGGCTGCTGCCTGTGTTGGTCAGGGCAGAGTAGACAGGGCCAGACACCCCAAGGGTCTTAGTTGCCCTTTTGGAAAGGGTTCTAAGGTCTCAAGTCTCAGAGTTTTTTAACACTGAACAGTGCACCTTCCTAGTACCCTGCACATCTGAACTTTGCACTCTCTTACTTGCCCTCCATCAGTGCAACAAGGATGGTGTATTTTCCTACACCTCTGGGGTTGTGGTGAGGAAAAGTACGTTTGGGAATGAATTGAGGCCCTCTGAGGCACGTTGAGTGTCCAGCAGGCGCCTGCCCACCGAGGGTGAGCTGGGAAGGTGCATCTTTGCCAGTGAGCACAGGCTGGTATGATGTCTTCTCCCAAAATACGTAATGCTGTTACTGTCCCTGGCTGTGCAGGCCCTTCCTCTTGGGTCAAGGCTACTTCTGTTCAGCTGAAACAGTGGGTAAAAGAAAAAACAAAGTCAATTAGGATGAAGGTCTTGGAAACTCTTCCAATGCTTATTTTCTGTAACTAAGATTTTTTTTTTGATACAAATCCCATGCTATTTTCCAACAGGGCAATGTTCGGGCAAGAAAAGCTTCCCAGAGAGGAGCTCTGATAAGCCTGAATTTCTTTGGCATTATTGATTCACCTGTGGCCCTAAATTACAGCTGTTCTTATTTTGATTTATTTTTATGCACAGTGCCTAAAAACTACTGTGTCTGAAAATGTTGTAGTCAGGATGCCATGCTCATGTTTTTTTATTATTGGAAAGCATTGAACATTTTAATTATTATTCTTTATATTTGCTTTCTAGAGCAATTTTTTCGTTTAGCCCTTTCAAGACTACAGAACTGTGGACTTTCCAATGAAGATGACAGGTGAGATGGTTTATTTTCTACTGTTTCTGTTCATTGTATTTCTAATATTTACCTGAAAAGGAATGTCAGTGGCATTATCCTGAAATTGCTCAAGCTGGCCAAGATGCAGATCTGACCGACAAACAATCTGTAACTCATTATAAGATTTAAATAAATTTTTGGTTTTAAGCATACATCGCACCAGCATTCAAGAATAACTTTTCTGTGATGGAACTTAAACTTACAGATTTCTTTTTATAAGTCTGTTAGGAATTTGCTAGCTGAATGCAATCCCATCTCCCTGTAGTCTCTTTTTATATTTGAGGAAAGTGAAATCAGTCCTTAAAAATTGAGTGTGATCTCCTCTTTCAAAGTCGTCAGTGTAAGCTAGAGAGTGTTTGAGATAAGCAGATGCAAACTAATAACTGTTTCTACACAAAAGAAATCTCATGCATATCCCCATGTCCTGCTGCACACACCGTTGGTTGTGTGTACGCTCGGCTGCTTTTCCAGCGAACGTGAGAGACATGGGGAGCCTGGAAAGGCTGTTCCTGGCATTTCGGGAGTAACCAGGGTGTGGCACGGACTGGAGCATGCCTTAGATAACTTGCTTCTCATGCATTATGTGGTCTTGTTTAAAAATCTCTTTGTTAGAAGTCAATTCTGCCAGGATTTGTTTGGGTTTTTTTTTTTGGAGGGCCGTTTTGGGTGTGTGTCTTGTTGTTTTGGGGGTTTGGTTGTTTGGGATTTTTGTTGGAGAGAGGGTTGGGTTTTCTTGAAGGTAGTACAGTAGGGTTGGCAAGTATACTCAAATCCTGTGTTTACCAAGTGATGCAAATGATGACTTAGTTTTGCAGTCTAGCAAATGGGCTGACAATGTGCCATATATCATGTTTAATATGCAGGCCTCTTTAAATAGAGTTGGATGCCAATAATGCTGAGGTTGGCTGTACTTGCCTTTGTTTTTTTAATCAAGGAGATCAAACAGGAGATTGTTGCTTCAAGCGAAATGCCAGGATCACATTTTAATTAAAGTTGGGTGGAATATGAATAAAATAATAGGTGTTCAAGCCTAAGAATTATCTTGGTTTTAACACCTAGTTTTCCTTTTCACCTACTGTACTCCTTCCTTTCCATGCATTTAGTATCTATTTCTAGGATGTACAGGTGCACTTTTAAGGGATGGGGGGTGGGGAGGGAAAAAAACCTATTATCTATCAGTTGAGTGGTAATTGTGAAAATTTATACAGAATTGGCTGACAAAGGCTAGTCTTTTGTCTGGAGTTTGTCAAGGATAATGTCAAATGTTGTATCAGAAGTTTCCTGAAAGTTCTACACTATAATAGTTTTGGGTGTAAAGGAGAGACGCTTGCAGTATAACGTAGTACCTTTTAAATGGAAGTGTTTGTTATATAGATCAAAAGTAAGGTAATTAGTATTTTTTGAATGTAGTTCTTTGAGATATAGATGTGTTTAATGGTTCTGGGAAGTGTGCTTCATTTTAATAAAAGCAATATACTTTAGTACTCAAGCAAAATGAGAACTGTTACTATTTAATAGGCAGTAGTATAAATCAAATGTACAATGTGTTCTTTCTAGATTCATCGGGTTTTGTGTATAGTACCGCTAGGGCATGAATAACTGCAGTAAGGAAGAGCTTTTATATATACATTAAACGTAGGTACAGTGGATTTTAAATGTGAAATCCTTTGGGAATTAATCCTAACAACATTCTCCAGTAACACAGCGACAGAATTACTAGGCAATTCTGTATTGCTACCACCTAATTTAGCCTTCTTGGCAGAATGTAAACCAAGATTCCCTATAAACTTTTCTTGGGGCAGAGTGGAGGAACCTGCTATAAAATATTTTAACAAACATTAGGCTATATGAGCACCAGATCTATGGTGTGTGTGTGACTCAGGTAAAACTGTACATAGTGAGCTACAAAGGATTTTTTTTTTTTTATTCTGAACAGTGCCGTTTTCCAAACTTAGGTGGAGTTCTCGCTGTGTAAAGGTCTAGCTCATTCAAAACTGTTTGGAAATGAACAGCGTCACTGACTTCAGTGACACAACCCATAGGAGAAGGGTTTTCCAGGCTAGGGGTATGTCTGTAGAGTAGATACCCACCTCCGAACACCTGCTCTACCACTTCCTTGTAGTTACTCGCTGGACACTCTGGACGCAAAGCTCAACAGCAGTAAATTCTTACAAATGCATTTACTCAAGATTGAGTCAACAAAATGTGACCTCTGTATCCTCCTTTTCCCAAGTAACCTCAAAGGAAATAATTTGCATTCCTCAGCTGACTCTGGGTGTGTATGTTAAAGGAGTTGAGGTTGAGATCTTCTTTTTTTCTTTTCCAGAGAAATTACTTAACTGGAATGTGGAGGATGCAAGCCTTTCGACCTTTAAATGCTACATTTCCATTTAACAATATTTTTCTTTTATAGACTAGGAAAATGTTTCTTTTAGCATTTCATCTTATAAAAAAAAACCACCATAAACTGATGCCTGGCCTTGAGATTAAGAGACTCTTGTAGAGACCATGTGAATACGGCAATTGTTTGAGTGACTAAAGGGATTGCATTTAGATGTTGGAGATCAGTTACCTGATTTACATCAGGATCCGTTTATACTCTAAGTAGGTCTCTTAACACCTAAATGCAATTCCCTTAGCCACTCAAACCATTGCTATAGCAATTGTTATAGTTGAGGTCTTAATATTTTTCACTTTCATTGATATTGTGCTGGTGGTAGCAAGGTGGACATCCAAACATTTCAGTCTGTTATATTTACTTATAGCACACCTGATATTGTTTAAGGACATTGGAATTTATTTTTCTTCTCTCTAATTTATTGACTTGGATAGGGTCAAGGGTGAGTGTTTGGGGATTTTTAATATGAAAACATTATGAAAAAGGAAACTTTAAGAAGTGGGGTTGGTAAAATGTCTGGGAGTAACAGTCTGCTGAAAATCACTGTGTTGATTTTTATGATGCTACAGTAAGTGCAGGTCAGTTATTTAACTTAAATACCTTTGAATACAGTCCAGCCTTGCTACAAATTCTTTATCTACATTTCATGTCAGTTTCCTATGATATTATGTTCTGATTTTTTACTCTAGCATAAACCATTTCCCTTCTTGCTTGTTGTTGTCAGTGGAATCTGCACTACTGTGGACATAGACTTATGACTGTAACTGGAGACACTTGAATGGGGGGGGATAAGGAGATGAGGCAATTCAGAAATAGCATGTTTGTGCCAGACTTCCTGTTTGAGTTGGCCCACTCTGACTTCCTGGGCTTGACAAAGATTAAAAGCTGATCTTTCTAATTTGTTTGACTGTATTTATGACTGTATACATGTACAATTCACCAGGAGTATTTGATCTGCTTGTTGACTTTATTCATTTTCAAAGTTTGCATACCAATGTTAGTGCTTTATTGGTTATTTGAAGGCAACTTTATTGGTTATTTGAAGATAACTTTATTTTTGAGTATGCCTGTTATTAAGGGCACTAGAGTTTTGAAAGATTAATCAAGCTTCAAACTTCACTCTGTTTTCCATCCAAGTAGTATTAGTCAGCTCTTAGCCATGAACAAGATCTGGCCTGCATCTGTCAATAAGAGGGAAGAGTTTGGATTAGACTTGAGAGCAGCTACCCAGCTTCTGTAGCTGCACAAGCCTCACTTGCCCACCTCTAAAGTCGTGTTTTATTTTACCCTTCCTGCCCTGAGTGTGTCCTGCTACATCACAACTACATAGCACGAAGAGGAGAAACCAAAGAGCTCTTAGCTTTTATACCAGAGTGGAAGGCATTACTTCAATAGCTAGGGGTTGACATAGTGAAGAAGCTTCTAAAACCATAGCATCTGCTAAAAATTGAAAGGTGTGTAGTAAGGAATCGGTTAAAGTTAATCTACAAGGGGCAGAATAAACAGTAACTTTTTGGCTGCTTATCATGATCAGCATAATACAAATCACTTGTAATGGAATTGACATTGGTTTTGTGAATTCACACCAAGAATTCACCAAGATTAGGAGCAATTTTTCTGGCTTTTTATTGAGACCTGAAGATGAGTTCATGCATGGTGTGTCAGTCACTGCCAAACCAGGGTGTCCACCAAGCACTGGGGATGGATGCTCTAGCCAGGAGGTAGCACCAGGAGTTGAAGTATGGGTAACAGTTTAGGATTTGCACTGTGGTGATGAAGTTTGTATCTCAGTCACCCAGCTGCGGCCACGTAACTCTTGATGACACTGAATTCAGAGGTGTGAGTTGGTTGAAACTTTCTGTGACTTAGAGGTATGCTTTAAATGACAGGAAAACATGGTACAGCCATACACTAATTCTGTGCTTCTTCCCTGTCTCCCTCCTTCTACCTTCATCACTTACTGATCACATTTTTTGTTCAGTTTTCCTTTTTCCTTCCTGTTTCTCCTTGCTCTTGCTTTTCTGTAGCACAGGATCTTGCTTTGAGCTCTATAATACAGCTGCAGGTTATAAAGTGTAATTCAGGAACAGGGTAACTTCTGCTTCCTTTCTCCCACTGTAAAATTTGCAAGAGGCATGTGTTCATCAGCCTGCTTTCTCAGGATATCTTAAAACTAGATTGAATAACTAATTGGAAAATGAATGGGCTGAAGCAGTCCTGGAGTGCAGAGGGAAGGGTTTTGTGGGTGTGGAGGGAGTGGGTATACTGAGGTCAGGACAGAGGTTTTCACCCCTCTGATTTCCAAGGTACCAAGTCATGTGAACTTGTGGCATTAGCTGGAAATATTTTTATGAATGCTTGTTGTCTTCCAAGCTGCTTGGGAAACACTAGAGAAAAGTGTGCCAGCTTTTTCATGTCACCCCACCCTAAGAGTTAGCAGCACTATATTTACACACATATATATATATATATATGTATATAAATTTTTCTTAAGTCAACTCCCTCTGCGGATGTGGCCTTAGAGCAGCAGATGAGAAGGTGCCTTCCCAGCATTTCTTTTGAAATGAAGTGCTTTTTACAGTTGGCATTTATTCTCATCTCACCTTTTCTGTACACCTCTGATTTTCAGCGTCGCTTTGGGGCCCAGTTTCTTTTCCCTAGCCCACCTGCAGTACAGCGTAATTGCATTAACAATTCTGTAGGAAATATGGGGAACTGCTTTCTACATTGACAGGTCAGTCAGTCTTGACTGGAACAGGCTGTTTTCATTCAGCTCTCCTCAGCTGAAGAAACAGGTTGGACTATCTGAGGAGAAAGATGTTAATTAGTCTATATAAAGTGTCCCACTGGGCATTTAATACAGACTATAGTATTCTTTGGGACACAGTCCTGGGGTCCCCTACAGTGAGAAATAGCATAGAACCATGACAGTAGGATGTTGGGGAGTGGCTCATCCTTAGTAAGCTGAGAGCCTGTTTGCAGCTGAAGAAAATACCAACATTTTTATTTTGCTGTTGTTCCTGCTGCAGCCAAGTTGAACAGCTTTTTCTCTAAATAAAGAAGCATTTTTACAAGAAAAAATGATGTGGTTACATGGTTGTTCCGTAAGGAGGAGTTTGCAATCTTATACATTGGATGTAAACCTTCTTTAAAGAGGCAAAATTTCTTGAGTAAACCAGCAAGCCTGTCTGTGCACTTTTTTAAAAGCAAAGCACACGTTCTGAGGTCCCTTCCAACTCTAACCATTCTGTGATTCTGTGAGCATTGATATAAGGCAGTAGAGAGCAAAAGACACACTTAGAAAATCTAGGATAACTTGGAAAAATCTTATCATTAGAATTTACTTTCATAAGTTTGTACTTGCATAATACCTTTTTGGTATTATATTTTTGGGTGCTTTTTAACTCTGAATATATTGTAAATTTGAAAGAGTTACTGTTTTGATTGGATGTAGCATAAGAGCTAATGTGTAGCTCAGTATTTTAGATACTTAGTAATGCTGTCTAATTTCAATCTAGTCACATTAGCATGCAACTTTTAATCAAGCGTATCCCCTCTGTTATGTTACGACAGTGTGCACTTCAGCACATGTTTAGACACTGCTTTCTAAGTAGAGGGAGAAAAATCAACACTATTATGTTCATTTGAAGAGCTATCACATGTCTTTGGGCTATGGTTTTTCACATGTACAATTCAGAGGCCTGTAAGGTAAATTGTGAACCTAAATCTTGCTGCTTCAGCTTATATTGGAGATCTCTAGAGTTGTGAAGTTCTACAATATTGCAGAACTACCTTAGTTTGAGTTTGTTTTTCCAGACATACAGTATCCTGGTTGGTAACCCTTGGACTGGAACAAGTTTGAAGCATTTTGGAAGGTCATTTATCTAATGGCACCCATAACATGAACTAGTTAAATGATCTTAAACAGCAAACCACTAGAAAAAGAACATGTATAAAAACAGTTTTACATGAGAGAAGCCATTTCCTGACTTTGGCAGTCCCTGAAATAATGCAGCTGCATTTTTAGAAAGCAACTTTAGTGTGTGATGCAGGATTGAGACCCCTCTATCAGGGCCAAGGAATGTAAAAGTTACAGGACCTCAGCGAGTAAATAAGCCAGCTAAATGCAAGTACATCATTAATAACAATATGAAGCAAGGGATGTTATGCATATTAAAACTTCTGTTTGTTCCACAGCATTGCTTGTCGACGGTGTGTTGTGGTCGGTAATGGAGGAGTACTTCGAAATAAGACATTAGGGGAGAAAATTGACTCGTATGATGTGATAATAAGGTAAATGGTATCTCCTTTTCATTTTGTGTATGTGCGAAGTATTAACAAGCTTTTGCTGTCGGCCAGTTATTATACAAATGAAAACTTCAAATCTTCCTGTTTTTCATTCTGTCACAGCCTTCGTTTAAAAAAAATCTTAGAAAAAAAAAAATATGGGTCAATATTTTATTACACAGACTGATTGATACAGGGGAGGAAGGGTCACTGGGTGGTCAGTCTACCTCATCTAGAGATACATACCTGCAAGATGCTGCCATCAGGGATGGGTTCAAGCATGCTACAGCCTGGAGCCCTGTGTGTGCCTGTCACTGTGAGCCAGCATCCTGGGCAGCCCTTGCCTTTTGCCTTCCACACCGCACCTGTCTGACTCCTCTGCTGGCATGTGCATTGCTTGGAGTGGATTAAATGTAATGTCTGCTGGGAAGTCCATCTCAAGACACTTGTGAAGTGGAGGGTGATGCTGATGCCTGGCCCTTCTTCTCTAGCATGTTAGTTCATATTGGAGGTTTGAGGTGCCTTGACCAGAGGATGCTGGGGTCTGAAGTAGAGGTGTCTGCACTAGGGAAACTGGGGAAGTGCTCAGAGAGGAACAGGCAGGGGGGCAAGCTCAAGTGCCAGGCAAACTGAAAATGGAATATTTGGCTGATTCTAAAAGAATTTTCTGCACACTAAGAAAAAGATAAATTGGTTTCTCCATTGCAGGATAGTATGCCTGAACCTGAGCTGCCATTTCAGTTTGTCTGCTTCAACATTGTGTTTAACACTGAACAAAATCTCAATTTTGTTACTTTGCCATTAATCCTAGTGCTCATTGTAGTAATAGTGTTTCGGTCTTTGAGCACTAATAGAAAAAGTTGTATACAAAGCCTGGAGTCTGACATGCATTTGAAAACATACTGATAAGGTAGAAATGAATGTATGCAATTCTTCAGTTTTGGCTTCTCTTATAAACTTAAAGTGATAGGAAGTGATCCAGATAATATCCCTGTTCTTAGAAAAATTTACTTTCCTGACAATTTTGTGCTTTGCAAAAAACAAAAACCAAAAAAATAACCAAACCCAAAACCCCAACAAAACAACATACCTTGCACTTATTTTCACTGTAGTATAACGATGCACAGAAGTTCCTTGGATTATTTTTTTGCTATTTCAAGTACTTGGGCTCTTTGTAGATCTACTTGCTCTTCTTAAAACGGAAATCTTTATGTAGAATGGTGTCACACATTTAAAAACAGCTCTAAATTCAAAACTCTTTCAGAAATATAGTACACATTTGTTTACTGTGAATGAACAAAGAAGTGGTGTCTGCATTCTGTATTTAATGACAACTTCTGATAAAATTTTGAAATATTTCCTTGTCTGCATACCTTGTTTTGCAAACATTTGCTCCTAAGTAGTGTGCCTCGTATTCTGGGCAGTCAGTCCCATTGGCAGGAATAGAGCATACAGAGACTGCCTGAATTCTCCGGAGAACATGCAACATACCCACCAGGCAAAAAATGCAAGATGGAGACTTAAACACGGTCCTTGTAACACCTCAGAGTACAGGGACCTAACCCATCTGCTCACTGCTTATTATTCTGGTATATCCCAAAGCAGTAGCAGCTGTGCAAGTAATATTAAAAAAAACCCCAACCAACCAAACAAAAAATCACCCAAAACCAAGCACCTCCCAAACAAGAAAAGCTAGCACAAAGATTTATCAGCATTAGGTACACAGTCATAATACCTGTCCCTGTATGCTGTGGACAGTGAAGAGCATTAAAACATTCTTGAATTGCCTCCTGTGTGACTTGGATCATCTACTCACATGAATGGAGCAATGGGTCATTCTCCAAGCCGGATATTCTCTTTGGTCTTCTCCAGTTTCTGCATTTGAGCCAAATCAGAAGGCTTTCTGCTCAAGTGACACACGATAAGCAATCATGCAATTGTATTCTAAACCTCCTTGGCCAAGTTCCCGCAAGTGTTTGATCCCTCTGAGTTAGAGGGTGAGTGCACCTGATAATTGCTCATCTACCGCGTAATGTGATAAGTAAATGCCAGGCTGCTGAACCCTCCTGTACCCGGACACACCGTCTGCCCTGCAGACTCATGCATGTGCCAGCCACCGCACAGTAAGGGCGTGGGTGGGGTAGTCATTGCTGTCTCTGTGTCTTTCCTCTGCAGAATGAATAATGGCCCTGTTATAGGGTACGAAGAGGATGTTGGGAGAAGGACAACTTTCCGCCTTTCTTACCCAGAGTCCATCTTTTCAGATCCGATCCACTACGACCCTAACACAACTGTTGTTCTCATCGTCTTCAAACCCCGTGACTTGAAGTGGCTTTGGGAGATACTAGGTGGTCAGAAAATAGTGAGTTATGTTGTGCGCTTTGGCTCAGCTTGCCCCACACCTCACATGAGAAATACCTCTTTTGCTTTTAATTTTAGTCCTACCTCCTAGCTGGGGGGAGCACTGAATCAGTCTCCTCGTCAGTCCTCTTTTTGACACGTAGATTTGATCGCTTCCTCAACCAAAGCAGTTTTCCTCTTGGAAATACTTTATCTTCTTTCTAGTACTGTTTCATGTACTGACATGCACACTCCAGCCGTTTTCCCAAATTATTTTGGTGCTGCTGACTTGGTGAAATTGGAGAATAATGTTGGAAGGGATCTCTTTCTCAAGGTCTTTAATCCAAAACCCTGTTGAAAGAAAACAGGTCCATGCTCAAATCCATACTGAGTTGTCAGGGCATCGTCCAGCTAAGTTTTGAGTATTTCCAAGGATATTTCTATAACCTCTGTTTCAGTGTTGCAGCACCCTCACATGAAAGAATTTCTTATCCTTTCACCATGTGCCTCTGAGTAGTCTGGTCGTGTCTCATTTTGTAAACTCCTACCGGATACTTGAAGATAGGCTGAACAAACCCACCCTCCTCAGACCCTTGTAGTTTGCTGTGCTCGATGGCCCCTCAGCTGTTTTAGTGGCCTTCTGCTGAGCTTGCCCCAGTTTGACACTTTCTCTTGCACAGGAGGGAGTCCGAAACAGCATTTGTGAGATGGCAGAAGGGCACAATACAAAGTACTTGAGATGGATAACCTCTGTCTACGTGTTCTCTATGCTTTTATTAGTGTGGACAAGCACATAATGAGTACTTACACCAGCAGTGTGCCCTGGAGGCAGCGTGTTGTCCATCACAGACCTTTCTGCAAAGCTATTTTCCAGCCAGTTGGCCCCAACTTCTGCTGCTGCAGAGGGTTATCCTGTTGCATGAGTACAATTTGGCACATGTTTTTGTTGAACTTTGAAAAGTTCAAGACTCCTCCGCTTCCTCCACCTCCTTCCATTGGATTTTACTCTGGTTAGAGTTGCTACAGAACCAAAATCTAATTGCCGTCAAAATGTGTATTTGTTTGCCTGTTACAGAGTGCTAAAGGCTTTTGGAAGAAACCTGCTCTGAACCTGATATACAAATCTAGTCAAATCAGGATTCTTGATCCCAGCATCACCAGAAAAACAGCTTATGAGTGGCTTAATTTCCCAACAAGGTTTCCGAAGAAGGAGGTAGGTTTTTTCTTCTGTGCCTTTAAGTTTTGTACAACCAAATGCATACTCAGAGGTAATTATCTCTTTATTATAGTGGACTATGCTAAAACATCTTTTATGTTCACATTGCAGTACTTTGCATTCAGTTGGTGCTTAGAAAGATGGGAAAACGGAATCCAGAACGAGAGTGGGTAGCCTTGTGTGCCAAAAATCTCTTTTGATGGATTCTATAATTAGTATTAAATGAGACTGCTTTTGCAGACAGACAAAATGCCTTTTGCAAAATTGGGAAAAGCAGACAGGCACTGGAAAATGGCAGATCCAAAGAGCCTCTGGAAATATCAAGAAGTCTGGAATTATTAAATGTAGGGTGATTTATATTTTTTCTTAAAAACAAACAAACAAACCAAACCCCCCAAAAAACCCCAACCAAACAAACCAAAACAAAACACCACCACCCACCAAAGCAAAAACTAAAACCAAAACCCCCAGCAAAAACAAAACACCCAAAAAAACCCCCACACCAAACAAACAAAACCCAACAACCCAGTAATTCTAACACTGCTGCAGTTTCACTCTGCTGGCGGCAGGTAAGGGCCAGGGACCGTACAGGATATTCCAGCCCCACGCTAATGACATCTGTCTAGCAGCATTCTTGTGCTTACTGATTTGATGCCAAGCATTGTAATGAGTTAACCAGCAATTTGGACATAAAAATACATTTTAACCATCGGTTTATGGCTGAAGAATGTTTCTGATGAAAGGTAAGGCTTCAAGCTGGAGACCTTCTTTGCGCAGTTGGGACTGACCACGTGCTACTCAGCACAACTCCGGTTCCCTGGGGTCACATCCGTGCACAGAGCTGCTTCATCAGGATCAGCCAACTGCCATACGTGGAAACTTTGGACAGGCTCTTACTGTGGAGTATCTACCACAACTTTTTTCCTAGTTTAACATTTGAAGGAGTTGAGGGTCTTTTGCTTTTGGGTGGTTTTGTGCTTTTTTTTTTTTCCTTCTTTTTCAAAATCCTTTCTTTTTTTGAGCTTACTAGTGGCCTTTTCCTCCCTTATTAACTCTCAAACTGGAATACCCAGTTTGGCTGCATGCTTGCTGGGGCTCCGTGGCATTTCAGCTCTTCAGCTGAGGGTGGGAAGAAAGCCGCATAGTAGTTGGAGCATATAATGATCTCCTAAAGGGCCACAGAAGATCCGTGGCCTCTGTGGCTCCAGAAATCTTTCCTGTCTCTTCCTGTGGTCCCATCTCAGTGGGGGTAAAAGTAGGATGTTGTCAGTGAGCCAAACAGATGCACACGCTGTCCTGGAGCTGGTACAGAGGCACAGAGACCTCAGTTGCTTTGGGTAACATGCATGACCTCTGCTTCTCTCCTGCTTGCTGGGTGTCCCTACCCAGAGCTGGAGCAGAGTCTATCCATGTTTGGAGCCCCTTTCTGCCACCTGCACATCCCACTGGCTCCATCCCAGAGGTTTTGCAGCCTCTCCTCCCCAGCGGCAGCAGTGGTCAAGCTCCAGAGTGCTTGTCCTCATGTTTCCTCGCATCTCTGAGGTGAGCTGTGGCTGGGAGCCTGCACATCTGCTGGTGTGTAGAAGCTTGGTTAAGCTGCAGGTCATGCCTTTGAGGGTTCCCCTTGACAGGGTGGCCTTTTGCAGGACCTGCTTTGGATCCCTGTAGCACATCCTTGGGGAAGGGCCAGTGCTGCCTTTGCTGTCCTGTGCTTCAGCCCCCTCTGCCTGCAGGAGACACTGAAGACCACTGTTGGTTTCCCTGCTGTCTCTGCCTTTTCTGTTAAGCCAATCTCACGTTCTCCGTGTGTGCGTTTATGGTTAGTCATCCATCCAACAAGGATTTCTGTCTCTTTGTTAGCAGCTGTGGTGGTGTGAGCAGAGCCAGGAGCGTAACTGTGAAATCGGATGTGCTGCCCCAGCCCCACCGAAGTCAGAAAGTGTTGCAGAGTCATTCCAGAGCTGCTCCCCCAAAATGTGACTGGTTGAATAAATTTCATTACAGGTCAAGGGTATCTGGTTACTGCTCGGGCACTAGCGTGACAATACATTTTAAAAGTAGTGTTGCTTTTTTTAGTCTATTCTTTTGAAGCAAACTTTATGATAGCCAAAGGGAAACGGAGCTAGTTGCAACCTGTAATGTTCCTGATATTCCACATTGCGCTGATCCTGACGTGTAGCATTCCTGCCATGATTTTTTGTGTCCTGTTTAGTCTGGACATTGCAACAGAGTGGCTGCTAAGTTTATGATACTCACCCCCCAGGGTGGAAAGTTTTGCTAACTGGCAGGAGCCCTGAGCTTAAGTTGATGTTATTGCTGAAGTACTGCAAGAGTTGCATAAAGGAACAAAAAAATTCTACATAAAAGGTGATAGTTCAATCCTGTGACTTTAATTAGGCTTACAGAGCTGTTGTTAGTAACTTAACTTCTTCCTGGGGATTTGTTCTTTTATCATATGATACAAAGAAATATTTTTCTGTGTCATTGAGTGGATCTGCCCTCTCTCTGCACAAAGTTGCCCAGCTCTGGTTTGTCTGCTTTGTTTTCAGAGGCAAATGAACTGAGCATTGTGTAAGAGTTCAGAAAAGCATGTGATTTTATGCTCAGTTTGAGGTTTGATTGCAGCTACTGAACATGTAGCTCATTTGGTCTCTGATAAAATTGTTATTTTAGCTAAGAAGGGCATTAGTGCCTGAATGTTTTGTCCTTTTCTGGGGTCATTTTTTCCCCCTCAGCTTCATCTGTTGGTCTAATGAAAGAGTTCAGCTCTTTCTACAACCCTCATTTACTTCAGATCATTTTAGCCACTGCTGCTGCTAAAACAGTCATTTACAAGGTGGAACAGATGGTTGCAATGAGTTGTTCTATGCTGTTGTAAGAAATGCTAATTTTCAGTTAGGTGCTCTTAATTTTGCACAGTTAAAGCCTGTTTATGACCAGCTCTTGGTATTTTATATTGCATTTATTTTGAGCTATCTCACTTTAGGGAGAATAAACAATTTTATCTACAGTTTCTTTTCTTCTAATGGAAATAGTGGGGGAGAGGTCTAAAGCCACGTTCTTCTGGAATTTCCCTTCTTTGAAAAGTTTCAAATGCAGCCAAATTTATGCAGCGGTAGCATTTATACTTTTTTAGCTTGATGTTATGAAGATTTGAGGCATGTCATGTTACTCTGTTCCTCTGGATCTCCATCATCTAGAAACTTCTGAACGCATCTGCTAATTTGGTCAAATTTAACAGGGTGAAATGGTGTCCAATACATTGAAGCCTGGCCAGTTTCATGAAAATAGGTTGCTGAGCAGGCGGATGGGGACACCTTCCTGATGGCTCTGCTGATGGAAGGGGTCTACGATATGGGCTCAGCCCTGACTAGAAACTGGAGAATCTTGGGGAAGGCCAACATGGAAATGGAAAAACCTGCAGTTGTGGTCATGCAAAACCTGCAGGCACTACCTTACTCCTTAGGAGACATGAGGGGATCAAACTACAAAACCAAATGTCTGTAGAAGAGCCACGCTGCCTGATTTTCAGGGGCTTTGTTCTTAGGTTTGATGTTCCTGTCAAACTGTATTTATGTATTTATTTATGTATGTGTGCTCTTTGTGTTTCACTGTAGAAACCCAAGCATCCAACAACAGGACTAATTGCCATTACGCTCGCATTTCACATATGCCATGAAGTTCACCTGGCAGGCTTCAAGTACGATTTCAGCGACAGAAACAGTTCTTTGCACTACTATGGCAACGAGACAATGTCTCAAATGATACAGGTAACATGTTGTTTATGCTGAGAGGGATATAGCTGGCAACTGGGGAATAGATTCAGAATAGCTAGAAATGTGTACTGCAGCTCAGAAAGGCCTCTTGATAGAGCTGCTTGGTTAACATCGCTTGAATCTCTTCCTCTCTGGTTTTGTTTCTGAAAAATGTGGATAATGATACTTGTGTCCCTTGTGCTACACCTTATTCTGCAATGTCTGCATGAAATGTAGAATCACAGAATGGTTAGAGTTGGAAGGGACCTTAAAATCATCTAGCTCTAACCCCCCTGCCATGGGCAGGGACACCTCCCACTAGAGCAGGTTGCTCAAATCCCATCTAGTCTGGTCTTGAACACTTCGAGGGATGGGACATCCACAACTTCTCTGGGCAACCTGTTCCAGTGTCTCATTACATTCACAGTAAAAAATCTTCCTAATATCTAATATAAATTTCCCCTCTTTCAGTTTAAAATTGTTACCTCTTGTCCAATCGCTGCACTCCCTGATGAAGAGTCCCTCTCCATGTTTTCTGTAGGCCCCCTTTAGGTACTGGAAGGCTGTGATAAGGTCTCCCTGGAGCTTTCCATTTCATGTGTCCATTTACATGTTCTATTTTGCTTTGCTGGTGTTATCCTTAGGCTACACAGCTCTTATTATTGATGGAAGTATATTTACTATTACTATCAGAACATGAATAGCATGGTTTCTACTTGCACTTTTTTCCTTGGCAGTTAGTTTTACAATTTGTCATAGTTGCCAAACTTCTTAAAAAAGAAAAAGAGAAAAGAAAGAAGAACAAAGGGAAATAATGGAAGGAGTTAAGACCTACAAACTTGCAGTCAGGAGAAGAACTGAATTTCAGAATTGAAAGCATAAAAGAAAAGCAGGTAGGAAGAGAAGGAGCTGTTTTCAGGGGTAAGCCACAACTCACCAGGAGAGGAACCAGCAGGAGGCTGGCAAACATCAGTGATGCCTTTTCCTCCCTCCTGCTTTACTACAGTCATGTCTCTGCTCTTGCATTTAGCTCAATATTCTGAGTAACTTCACCTCAGCCCTTTACTTCAATGTGAACAGTTTTCTCTTCCATGTGCACGCCCAGTGCACATGGGGACCATTTTGTCCCCTCCCTTTCCTGAAGGGGAAGGACAGTGGCAGTGCCCGTAGGAACCTCTCATGTCTGAGGATTCCTTGGTGTCTGCTGCTCTGAGAGAATTTTTCTCTAACACTGAACCTTAATTTTGCAGCTCCTCTCTGCAGGTGCTTTTTTTGCAATGTATCCCAAGCTTGGATAAGGTTGATCAGTAGTTGAATAGACATCCGTAAGTTTCCTAAAATCTTGAAACTTTAAAAACCAAACAACTAAACAAAAACCTCATCATTATTTTTTTAGTGGCATTAAGTTGTAAATGTTGTATATGCATGTTTTATGTAGTATTTGTATTATATTCATTTTAATTTACTGGATTCAGTGTCTAAGATTGTCAGTAAACTTACTCTCTTTGTGCTGTCTTCAGCTAACGTTTGGATACAGCACAGAAGATGTGTTGCTTTTGGCTTTTTGAAACTAATTGACAGGGTGCACCCAATTTACAGATGCTGATGTATGCTTTTCAAGAACCTGCACTGAGCTTTGAAAATTAGTCATTTTCTGACTCCTTGTGCTCTAAACATGGTTATGCAGCTTTTCCCTCTAAGCATAGGGAGGAGTTGGGAGACTTGGTAATGGAAGGACTTCTGTCTCACCCATTCTCGCCATTGAAGGATCATCCCTTTTGGTTTGTGTCCTAATGGAAAATCTAATCTAGTTTTGAGCAATAGAGTCACTCACCTGTTTTTGTGGGAGATTGTGCTACAGCCCTTGCTAATAAGTCTTTTTCCCAGAGCTCTTAGCATCTTCCAAGTATCATGGGTAATTAAAGGGAAAGAACAACCAAGTGATGTTTCTGATAGCAATTTGAATTTAATTTTCTTTATTATTCCCTCACATCTCTTTAGAATGAATATCACAACATCAACGCTGAGCAGAAATTTTTGAAGAAGCTTATAGACAAGAACTTTGTGGTCAATTTGACATGAAAGCTGAATGGAAAATACAAAGAACAATCACTATTTTCAAGATTTGAAAAAATTTTATTTTTTCTATGACATTTTTATTTTTTAAGTGCAGCATAACTGTTTATTGTTTAAAAGGAGCACAGAAACCTCACCAAGGCAGAAGCTTTCTTCTAAGCCTGAGGGTAATGGACTATTGCAAACAGAGTTAACTGTCATTTCTGTGAAGCTATTTAATAACGGTAAACCATGAAACTTTCAGCTGAAAGTATCAGGGATATATAAAAATGTGATGCACATCACTTATTTATCAGCAAGAACTCTTTCCAAATGATTACTTCTATGGAATATTTTTGTTTCTCTTGTCCTCCAAAAGAGTTACACTGTCAAGAGACTGAGACAACCAGTGTTTAATTAGTAGATGGATGTAAAGTCTTGAATGTCTTTCTTGTAGTATGAAAACGGCTTTAAAACGATGCCTATAAATCATTACTGTGTGTTTGGAGAAGGGGCAACATACAGAGTGTACAGGTTTTAGTCTGCTCTACTGAAGAGGAGATGTCCATCTTCAGCAAAGAAGCCACAGCTTCTGCACTGGCCATCGACTCTGAACTGCTGCCTGCCTTTTCCAAAGGTGAAGATTTTTCGTCTTATTTGTGGAGACATTGGTATTGACAATGCTTATGTTGTACCCAGTTTATGGAAAACCCTGCTCCCCATCCTGTGTGCCCAATAAATTTTACGATTGGTGACTTGACTTAGAAAAGAGGGATTATGAAGACTGAAGAGTTGTCCTCATTACCCGCGTGTCAGCTGCTTCCCCCAGACCACAACAGAAACATGAGCTGGGTCAGAGATGTTCACATCCGAGTTTAAATTTAGAGCCAATGTTTGTTGGATTTCCAGATCTCCAGGACAGGATCTTGTGTATCTTTCTGTTCGCTCCCCAGGAATTGAGGTGTATATTTCCAAACCAGATAAGTCTCCTTTCTCAGATGCTGTAATGCATTTCCACCTTTGCAATGCATCAGTGCGAGCAATGAATGTTCCCATCTTCAGCAGCAGAGTGTGCTAGGGAATATCGGGAATATCCAACATATACCTCAGCTGACTTATTATTTGACTTCTGTTTACCTCTCCCGTCTTGACATTTGGGTTTAAATGATGTGGCTGAACTATATCATTTAGTAGTGGGGACTTCATTTTGATTTTAATTGAAACATTTAATGGGATGCTTGTTTCCTGTATTGGTTTGTCTCAAACAAGCCTGCTGAATAAGTTTAATCTGTCTAGGAATGGTCTTGACAACTGTCAAAGAAGAACAAGTAGTATGCTGTTCTAATTCTCTCGTGGAGTGTGTATTTTTGATTTGTGGCAGGTTTCCTTGAAGATCTTGTGGTTATCTTGATCAATCACACCTAAAGAAAGCATAAAGAAGTCCACTTGAAAAAAAAGTGTAGCTGGCAGAAAAACCTTTGTTGCTTTTTAATAAAATGTTATAGAGAGCTTTAGTATGTTTAGGAGCAGTGCAAACAATTAAAATACAAACACAATCCTCTAGCAGGGCAGGAGCACAATATTTGTATTTTTCAGAAGCTGAGGATTACAGGAGTACTGAACAAAAATTTTTTGCAGCAGGGTAGAGGAATAGGCATTGGCTAATGAACCATCTTTCTTTTTCTCTATTTCTGTTGTGGTGTGCAATAGGTATTTAAAAAAACACTACCACCTTCCCATAGTTTTCATCTTCCTTTTTTGTCCCTTGGCTCTGCCCGTCGGAGATCAGTGAGTGCAGTGTAGTTTGGAGGGGACCCACAGATAAAGGGGAGGAGGCTTTGTGTTCTCATATAGTGTTTTCAGCTAAGGACTCCTGAGCTTTGGTGCACTTCAAGCAAATTTGACATATTGCAATAACTCCACGTATCATCAAAATCTGGGGCGGGGAAGGACCATGGGGCTTGTCTGCTGCAGGGGGTGGCCCCTTGTCCAGCCCTGTGCAGGGAGGCAGGCGAGAGCGTGGGGGACACTGCAGCAGGTGACTGTGGTGGAAACAGAGGAAACTAGAATTTCCTCACAAGGTGGCAGAAGGGCTCAGTTATTTGTATTTCCTATTTTTTTATGTTTTTTTAAACATACACATTTCTGAACCATTGAGGAAGTCTTAGTCAGAAGTCTGAATAAAAAAGGGTGGGGGTTTGCACCAGCAAACAGTGATATTACTATCTTTAGTCCTACCAGCATTTATTTCTTCTTGTTATTTCAGTTAATAAAAAAAGGTTTGAGTGGTGTATGTACCTGCAGCCATAGACCTGCAGTGATTCAGACTACTGACAGTAGCAATTCCACGTGAAAAAAAACAAAACCCTGGTCACTCCCAGAGCCACCACAGATCCAACTGCATTCATGTAACATCTCACAGTGTGGTGACCATGAGGATTTTTTTCCAGGAGAGCTACTGAGTTTCCTTCTCCTCTCAGAGCCTGGTTTCTGCCATGGTGCAGGCTGCTTCCCTCTGCTTCTCCACCCCTGTCCCTGGTGGCAGGAGGTGGGCAGGGAGCTGTGCTGAGGATGTGGTTATTTGCTTTGTTTCCTCTTCCCGCTAATCTAAACTGATTACTTTTAGTTGCTATAGTCAGGATCCAAACAAAATAATTGTAAAAAAGTCTTCGTGGCAAACAAATGGCATCCCCCAAACTCTTTTTACTTAAAATGGATTATTTTATTCTTTTTTTTTTACCACATCAGCTTTTTTGGTCTCCCTAAGATA